AGTTTTTAATATAAGTGGACCATGTTATTGTATTCCCCTATCATTAGGAAAGTGTGATGTTTGTAGTTTTTTGCTGTTATACAAATTTGTACGTGTGACAATTGCCTTAAAATAAGAATAAAATATTAGAATTACTAGACATTACAATTTCATGTTTTTGTTTTCAGTACTGGAATTGAATTCTCCCAGCCTTGAGCTTTCCAAGTAGGCTAAACTCTACTACTAGTCCTTCTGCTTTTCAATTCGTTTTCAGATAGGGTGTTGAACTTTTACCTAGGCTGTCCTTGGACTGAGATCCCCTATTTTAGTAGCTGTACAAAGAGATTTGAATTCAACATAAGATCCTCTTTACCTCTCAAGTAGTTAGACTCATAAGCAGGCCATTACTAAAAGCATGTAATGCCAGGTCCAGCTTATGATTTTTGATACAAATTATCCAGTTGATTTCTTTTCTTTTTTTTTTGGTCCGGTCATGGGGCCTGAACTCTGGGCCTGGGCGCTGTCCCTCAGCTCTTCAGCTCAAGGCTAGCGCTCTACCACTTGAGCCACAGCGCCACTTCCGGCTTTTTTCTTTTTGCTTATGTGGTGCTGAGGAATCGAACCCAGGGCCTCTGGCATGCAAGGCAAGAGCTCTACCACTGAGCCACCTTCCCAGCTCTGTCCAGTTGATTTCTAAAATAGTTTGTAACTTCTATCCCCATTATAAAATACAAGAATGGTCTCTCTCTTTGAAGCTATTTCTGATGCTGGATATGATAAAAATGTTGCCATCCTGGCACATGAAAAATGGTATCTAATTTTAGATTGTATTTTGATTTGTTGAAGTTTAATCTTCCAACTCTTTTCTGGTCATTGAGTTCTTTTGTGAATTAGCTATATTCACTGCCTGCTTGGTCCACGATAGGAGAAGCTGTTAATTTTATTGAGTATATTTATTGGCATTATGGTATATTTTGGCTTTATGGTGGAGTAGGAACCTGCTCTCCCAGGCCTGAGTCCTATAGGAGATGATGATAAGAGGTCTGGCTTCAGTGCTGGAGTACTAGACTCTGTAGAACAAGCATTAACATGGCAGCCTCTCATACTTGGCTCTGTATCATTACCTCATTGGGCAAAAGGTTGAGTTGAGGTTGCAGTGGTTCAGTAGATCAGTATTGGTACATTGTACTTATCAGAAGCAGTACCACCTGTTGAGGATTTTTAAATGTTCCAGATCCGAGTGAGGCATTTTGTGTGTACATTATGTCACATAATTGCCACTACCCCAGAAGATAGAGGGTAGGGGTTTTCCACTTTGCAGATGAGCAAAGCTTAGCAAGAAATATCTCACACACTTTTGTAAAGTTAATAAATGGTGGGGCAGTGTAGTTAATGGTAACTTTTAGTCCCTACTACTCTTGCTTCTAAAGGATAGAACAGTGAGTATGTTATCAGTGGAGGAAGAATGAAGTCAGCATAGACAGACACATCTTCCAGCCTGTGTACCTGTGTACCTGAGGGCATCCCTTCACTACCCTTGCAATGAACCTTATTGTAGAGGAAATGTGACTCTTTGGCCTGTGCCAGCTTAGATTCACTTCCCAGAATGCTGGAGTTCATCCCTCCTAACCCCCTCTTGTGGCTTTGAGGAATGTCTATACAAGTTAGCTGTTCTCTATGTGACTGTGACTTTTTGTTTTCTAGATAAAAAACCTCAACCATGGTTTTGCCAAGCTGAAAGCCCTGGTGCCATTTCTTCCCCAAAACAGGAAGCCTAGTAAAGTTGATATCCTTAAGGGTGCAACTGAATATATACGAGTTCTCAGTGATGTTTTGGATAGAGCCAAAGACTCGGAGGTAAAGGTTTCAGAATTTGGAACAAGGGTAGCCACCATTTATTGAGCCCTTTCTATGTATAGATGGCATGCCACATAATTTACATGTACTTCCCAGGTAATTTATCATCCTGAGTGATGGGGACTTGCAAAAGTAGAAGAGCACCTGCATAGTAAATACAAAGCCCTGAGTTCAAACTCCAGTACTGCAAAACAAAACAAAATGAATGAAAAACAGTCACCTTAACTTTTTATGATTCCCACTTGATAAAGGAGGAAATCGAAATATAGGACCACATAGCTAAGAAGCCCTGATAGGACTGAGATTAGAACTCAGATCCTGATGAGCTAGCCAAGTCTACTTCCTTCACTTTTCAGGGCACCTCATTGCTAATTGTTGAATCTTTAATGAGACGCAAGATTAGGACATAAGTTTCCATAGAAGCACCTTGTGGCAGATTTTTCCTGTGAGCAGATCATCCACCAGACAGGACTCAGAAAAGAGTTTTATATTATTCAATGGGATGATACAAATGTGAAGTTCTATAATGCCATCATCCCTATTATCTAGGTTGGTGTAGAAGTGTCCAGTAGGCCATAGAGGTTGTAGACTGGATTTGTGGGCTTGTTTGCCAAGAGGCAAACACTGAAGGGCTGAAAATAAACCTGCCATTAGGGGCCATAAAATATGAAGAGATCAGACCTTCAAACAAGCCCTATATAGCATTAGCAGGAGGGATTTATTAGAGACGCAAGGTCAAGGGAGAAGATGGAGTCATAACATTGAGGAGGACAGACACCTAAGAAACATGGAGGGAAGTAGAAGACTAAAGAAGGCCAAGATGTGAAGGCAAACAGGTCCAGCATTTGAAAGGTGGACAAATGGGTGGTCAAAGATGCATTATTGAGGGAAGTGGTAAACTTCAAGTCCATTCAACCTACTTTGAAAATTAAAGAAGGATCAAAATTGAACTCGGCCTGAGTTTACTGTGAAAAATCTTTTTAAGGCAGCAATGTGATCACAATTAGGTGGAAAAGAGAAGAGAAACATAAACATTCTAGAAATGTGTGTATAGTATAGTCTCTTCCTTCATCCTTGCATTCTGTTCATCTCAGGTGACTTAGAAAACATTCTATAGTGGCAGGAATAAGCTGTTCTATTGGCCCCATTGGATGGTTGGGTTGTGGCATGGTCGTAGTTTGGACGTGCCTAGGTGCTATCTTTGTTTTCACTTTGTGTCTTGTATAATGGAAGGGCTGCATTCTTTAAGGCACTCATTATAAAATACATTATTTTTTTCATGCCATAGTATTTTAAATTCAGTTGTTCATTGCCCAACATACTGATGTTATAGAAGAACAAAATTAAGTTCATGAAACAATACTTGAGAACTTGTCTGCATGGCTCTGATGACTTAAATAAAGCCTTGTTAAAAGTTTGAAATAGATTGATTTAAAGCTTTGTAAAGTTTGACATGCTATATTGCCTGACAATTTTTTAAAATATGGTTTCTAGAAACAGGACCCAGATATGCAGAACCACAGCAACAAAACTTCTGATCCACATATGTCCTTGGCTATAGAGCTGTCAAGAAATAGCCAACATACCAGCAATGCCATTGTCTTGAAGAGTGAAGAGGAAGGGCCCTGGCCGTGGTGAGCTGGCTTGCACGGTGACTATAAGTTATTTCCCTGGTTAATAAATCTGGTAAAGGATTCCTTCTTATATAGCTATGTAGATGTCAAAAGGCTAAAAATATATATGATCAGGGGCTGGGAAGGTGGCTCAGTGGTAAAGTGCTTGCCTTGCATGCATGAGGCCTGGGTTCAATTCCTCAGCACCACATAAGCAGAAAAAGCCAGAAGTGATGCTGTGGCTCAAGTGGTAGAGCGCTAGCCTTGAGCTGAAGAGCTGAGGGACAGTGCCCAGGCTCAATTCAAGTGCCACAACTGACATACATATATACATACATACATACACACACACACACACACACACATATATATATATATATATATATATATATGATCAAATTTTGGATAGCTCCTCTACCACTAGTGTGGCATTTTCCATACTCAGACAGGATTAAACCAAGATAATTTGGGAATGGACCTACATGGGAAGTAAGCCTGATAGTTTGGAAAATTATTATGTGGTTGGCCACTTACCAATTTAAAGTGAGAACTAATGTTTTCTATAACAATAGAAAAGTTCTCACTGGAATTTTTCTCCAGCCTTAATCTTCCCAAATACTAGGATTATAGGTGTACATCACTGTGCCCATCACTTTTTGGTCTTTGTAGCTAACAAAATTTGTTAATTAGAAGAGTGTGCTGATTCTTAGGCCGAACAAAGAACAAATATATACTTTGAGAGTTTTATTTCCTAGACACATTATTTTCTCAAATCTGACTTCCAATGCCTGGCTATAAAAGCCAGATTTTTGCAGGAGCATTTTGGGATTTTCATCTGTTAAGGATTTATCATATTTTGACATCCAAATCAATTATTTTTACATACTTTTTCATTGTAAAAATTGTGTACAGAGGGGTTACAGTTACATGAGTAATTGGTAATGAGTACATTTCCTATCGAGCATTGTTACCTCCTCCTTTGTTTTTCTCCTACCATCCTTTCCCTCCCCAACTCCTACCTCCTTCCCCCCAAAGTTATAAAGTTCATTTTCAACATAGTGTCTTGTACATCTCATTATTACAATGGGTCAACCTGTACCAAATCAATTATTTTTTGTGTGTGTGGGGGGGGTCCAGTTGTGGGGCCTGAACTTTGGGCCTGGGCGCTGTCCCTCAGCTTGTAAGCTCAAGACTAGCGCTCTATCACTTGAGCCACAGAGCCACTTCTGCTTTTTTCTTTTTGCTTATGTGGTGATGAGAAATCGAACCCAGGGCCTCAGGCATGCAAGGCAAGCGCTCTACCACTGAGCCACCTTCCCAGCCCCCCAAATCAATTATTTTTAAATAAAAAAAAATCTGGCTAGGCATTGGTGGCTTACATTTGCAATCCCAGCTACTCAGGAGGCTGGATTCTGCATGACTGAAAGCTAGCCCAGGCAGGAATATCTGAGACTCCTAATCTCCAATTAAACACCAAAAACAAAAACAAAAATGAAGCTGTGGTTTAAGTGATAGAGCTAGACTTGAGCCCAAAAGCTCAGGGAAAGCACCAGGACTGGTACACAAACATGTGGAAACACTAGCATATAGAAATTGCAAATGTCGGGGCTGGGAAGGTGGCTCAGTGGTAGAGCGATTGCCTTGCATGCTCAAGGCCCTGGGTTCGATTCCTCAGCACCACATAAGCAAAAAAAGAAAAAAGCCAGAAGTGGCACTGTGGCTCAAGTGGTAGAGCATTAGCCTTGAGCTGAAGAGCTGAGGGACAGCACCCAGGCCCAGAGTTCAGGCCCCACGACTGGACCCAGAAAAAAAAATTGCAAATGTAGTTCAAAGTAACTTCTTTACTAACTGAAGGCAAATTGCCAACCTGGTGCCCTAGTATATAGTTACTTCAAGTGAGTTTCCTTCAAGTGAGGCCATTTGCATTTTATAAAACCACAACACAATCACAAACATCAGGAAGTTAGTGTCCTTATATTCATGTTTTACTAGTAGTCTCAGTAATGTCCTGCATAAATACAAAGACTTGGCCGAGAATAATGAATTACATCTTGTCATGTTTTTAGTTTCCTTCAGTCTTGGCCTTTCTTGACAAATTTGAAGGTTGCTACCCAGCAGTTTATGTAGGATGTTTCTTGGTGTTCACAGATTTCTCCTGATTAGATTGTATTTCTTCCTTGTCATGGGCTTAAAAGTAATAAGCTGGCCATGGACTGAAATAGTGGGCCAAATTCTTCTTTAAATTGTTTCCCTTAGGTATTTGTCATAGCAGTGAAAAGTCTAACACTATTGTATCTTCTGATTGGTCTCTTATTGTCATTGCTTGATCAGAGGAGATCCCAAGCTACTTTGGACTTTTCCAGCCCTGAAACTGCTCACTTTTCTAAGAATATGCTGGCACATCATCTCTCTGTCTCTGGTGCATCTCCTCCCTACATAACTGTTCTCTCATGGTCTTTGTCATATTTTACACTTGACAAAAACACTCTCAGGCCATTCTCCCACATCAGGCCTTGATGCTTCCTCACACATGGGTGTTAACTCATCCTTCTTGGGCCCTGAGACCTCACTCTGGGTCACTGTGGCTCCTCCTGCCTTACTGTGACCCAGCTACTGGCACTAGGACTGACTTGCTCAGGAGTGGGAAGGAGGAAGGGAAAGCACATTTTCTTTGAAGTTCTTGCTCATGTACCCATTTTCCCAGCTAGTTTTCTTAACACAATTGACTTGCATATGAGTTGAGAAGTTTTTCAGCATCACTTTTTACTGACTTTCTAAAAGGCTTGCATTTACAGTCAGGGACCAGGATAGATCCAAGATAAAGGGACCAAGGAAGAAATGTTCAGGCTAGCTTTTATGTGACAAAAAGAGGGCCATAAAGGTTCAGAAGTGACTACAGAGGGTTTCACAAACTTGATCAGATATACCAACTGGAGACTCTGCGATAGCTGGTGTAGTTCATTGGACAGAAATGCTCACTGGCAGACAGGCTCAGAATTTAGGAGGTAGTCCTTTCCATCTTCAGTTTGCAGAAGTGGCACCTTCTTCTCTTCAGGGAGGAGTTGGGAGTAGAATTTCTGGAGTTGGCAGGGATGGGCCTTCTTGGGGGATTTGGAGATGGTTTTGGAACAGGCTGTGCAAGATCAACAACATTCCTGGGAGGCAGGCTCCTGAATGGATGTGCAGAAGAATCTGCTGATGGCGGGGAGAGAGATTAGCTTCTGGGGCCAGAGCAGGTTCACTTGGAAATAGAAACAGCAAGTGGTGTGTGCAGAAAGACCAGGGCTGTGAGCCACACAAAGCCACACATCTGTTTCTGATAGGGAGAAGGACTCATTTCAAGATGTTTGTTTAAAATAGGGAATTGAGGTATAGGTACTTTTGTTTTTACTGTATTATGATTGGGCATTTGTATGGTGGTTTACACATCAATCCCAGCTACTCAGGAGGTATAGATAAAGATAGGATCAAAGGTGTTGTCCTGTCATTTATTTGTTCCTTTTGGTTAGTTGTGACTATTGCTCAGGCTTTTATGTCATTTGTGGCTCTGAACTGTGATTAGAGTTACTGGTGATACCACAGAGACTGAAGCAAACCACCCTCAATTTTGGACTGGGATTCCAAAAGTGCCTGAGTTCCAGGAACTTTGGAAAGGGACATATGAATGAACATAATTGTCTGTCCAGGAGCTTGGGTATGCTGCAGCACACACTTCTTTTTTTTTTAAATACATTTTTATTGTAAAAATACTGTACAGAGGGGGTTACAGTTACATGAGCAAGGCAATGAGTACGTTTCCTATCAAGCATTGTTACCTCCTCCTTTGTTTTTCCCCTACCATCCCTTCCCTCCCTCCTCCACAACTGCATTACTCCCCCACCTCCCTCCCCACCTAAATTGCAAAGTTCATTTTCAACATAATGTCTTGTATATCTCATTGCTACAATGGGTCAACCTGTATCCCTATTTAAGCATTTTGTTTTTCCCTTCCCATCCCCAAGTTAGAGAAGTATATATACAAGATGCAGAGCACCAACATCAAATAGAGTGAAAAGAGGGGTTATACCGTGGGGGAGGAACATACAAGGCAACAAAAAAATCACATGGTACATTATAAATACATTAGGAACAATAGCAAGTATCCCTATCTTGGGGTTCATTTCACTTATCATCTTATATGATCGTATGTAAAGAGCTTTTGACCTTTTCTGCTTGTCCCAGACATATACTAGTTATTGTAAATAAGGGAAACCATGGGACCTTTGTTTCTTTGGGCCTGGATTACTTCACTTAATATAATTTTTTCCAAGCCTTTCCATTTCCTAACAAATGGGGCAATGTCATTCTTTCTGATGGAGGCATAGAATTCCATTGTGTATATATACCACATTTTCTTGATCCATTCATCTACTGAGGAGCATCTGGGTTGGTTCCCTATCTTATAATAAATAAATATCAGATAAACAAAGTTATCTGGTAGCTTTAGTGTGGTCTTGTTTGTGATCATTTGGGTAAATGCCCAAAAGTGGGATTGCTGGGTCATAGGGGAGCTCTATGTGGAGTCTTTTGAAGAACCTCCATACTATTTTCCAAAGTGGTTGAACAAGTTTATACTCCCACCAACAATGCAGTAGGGTTCCCTTTCAGACACACCCTCCTCCAGCATCTGTTGTTATTAGAGTTCTTGATTATAGCCATTCTAACTGGGGTGAGGTGGAATCTCAATGTTGTTTTGATGTACATTTCTTTTATGGCTAGAGAGGTTGAGCATTTCTTCATGGTCTATTGGCCATTCTTATTTCCTCTTCAGAGAAGTTTTCTCTTTAAGTCTTTAGCCCACTTATTTATTGGGCAGTTGTTTCCTTCAGGATTTGTTGTTGGGGGATTTAATTTTTTGAGTTCCAAGTATATTTTAGATATGAGACCCTTGTTCATGTACGGCTAGTGAAGCTCTTGCTAGCTATGTCCTTTGCCATGCAGAAGCTCTGCAACTTCATGTAATCCCATTTGTCTAACCTTTCTTTG